TGTATTTTTAATCTTTATGATCTGTCTTCTGAAGAGTCCACCTCAAAAACAGCATTTTGTTCGTTTCATACAAGCAATATCGTTTGAAGATTTCTTCTTATGAATTTATTTTCCCCCATTTTCAAAATTATCCACCTTCTCTAAGTTCCTTTTTACTTGTTTTCACCTCTTTAATTCATATTAGAAGCTTCTCCCAAATCTCTGATCCTTAATTATTTAAATGAGCCCATAATGTGTTGTCTATGTATGCTATCGTTATATTGTTAGATGCGTGTTATTGAGAAGGTGGATGTGTGTGGTTTGCTGTTGAGAGGGTGTGGGGGTTATGTTGTAGTGGGATGATTACTTAATTTACAATAGTGATTAACAGGGTGGTCAGCTGAATTTTTTTTTGCTTGAGTTGTTCTCCCCAAAAAGGTATGTTGGTCTCATATGAAAGTATAAGCTTGACAGGTAATATTTTGGAAACAGGATGATGGAAGGGGGCTAGAAATTTTCAGCTTTTAAATTCATCACCTGTTATGCACTGAACTCTGACCTTCCAAAATATGTGTTGAATTTCTGGCCCATGTACCTATGGATGTGACCCTTTTTGAAAATAGTGCCTTTCTTATTGTTAATAAAATCATGCAAGTGTAGGGTGGATCCTAAATTTTATCATTTTGGCACTATGAAAAGACCAGAACAAATACAGAGACACATATAAGGGGAAGATAGATACCATGCAAGGATTGACTAAAAGTCTAGGAATGCCAAGGTATGCCCAGTGCTACCAGCAAGGAAGGAATTGAGATGGTCTGGACTGATTTGCTTCCAGAAATGTGACAAAATAAGTTTTTGTTCTTTGAAGCCATCCATTTGTGGTATTTATGTTATAGAAGCACTAGGTAGCTAAGATACCCCCATTTCAATTTATCATCTCATCTGTGTTCCCAAGTTGAGAATCTCTTGATTCAGTTTCTCTAGAGTCTCTTACAGGCTGGGCCAAGGGCTATTCACCTGGCTGCACTGTTCAGGGTTTCTTAAAGAGATGTTGGACCAATTCCCTTGTTTTCAACTCATTCTTCACCTCTGCCTTCCACAGTAAGTAAATACTATGATGCCCTTCTGGGGTTTGGAAAGACCAATAGCCTTGCCCCTCATCAATATGCACATTCAGGAATTTAGATTTTGGCTCCTTTTCTCATCTAAGCTAGTAACCATTTCTGGCCCTTGTATCTATGGATATGTGATCCACAAGATTTCTATCATCCAAAAATTTTTTGACATGTTTCCTCTTCCATACCTTCTTCTGTTTGCTTGGTCCCTGTATGGGATTATACTTTTACTGGCATTGAAGTGGAGTCTTGGAAGCAGACATAGTCTGCCATGTCTAACCTAAAGGCAAACTTTCTTTTCTATTTTCCTTAATTCAAGTTAATAGGTTTTCCCTCTCACTCATTAAAGTGATGCATACCTATTGTGGAAAAGTTTCAAAAATGAAAATTATGAAAATAAAAATTACTGCTATGCCTACCACCCCCAATACATTTCAATTTCTTTTGTTAGTCTTGATTTTTTTTTAATGTAATTTGAGTCAAGGTGTTTTCTTTTTCCACTTATATTGTTAGCACTTCCTTCATCAGAATAATTTAAACATAGCCTTCTTAATGGCTATACCTCCATTTCATCATTTGATTATACTACAATTTAACTATTTCCCTATTATTGTACATTTATGTTGTTTCAGTTTTTCACCATGATAAAAAAACAAAATGCCACAATGAACACCTTTTGTCATAAACTTTTAATCTGCTTTTCTTAAATCAGACTCCAATGAGTGGATTGAGTTTATTTTTTAAAAGGCAAGAGTCATCTTCCTAATGTTCATGCTTAAATTTTTTTTCAAGGCTCTCCACTGCTTCAGGACACAGTTCAAACTGCTTTTCCATTCAACAGTTCATACACATTTTGATTCCTGACATTGATTGCAATCCTCACAATGTAACAGCACTCTTCCCACTTCTTTCCTGTGTTTACCGTTTCCATTTGTCCTTCTTTTCTGCCTTCTGAGCTTTATCCTTGGTCAAATGCTGCCCTTTTGATCTTGTATGATTGATTAAGCCCCTTCATTATGGTGTTACTGTTCACCATATGAGCCTGCCTGTCATTTGGTTGAAAGTTAAGCCATGGGGGTGAGTTCAGTTTCAGGCCTTAAGGGTGACTAAGGGCCATAGTCTTGGGGGTTCCACCAGTGTCTGTATGACCAGTAAGCCTGGTCTTTTTTTTTTATGATTTTGAGTTTTGCAGCACATTTTTCTTCCACTATATCCTGGAACTCCTATTGTGATACTCTTCACAGCAGTCAGTAGTGGTAGCCAGACACCATGTAGTTCTTCTGGTTTCAGGATCATGGAGGCTAGGATTCATGTGGTACATCAGACCTTTGACCTAATTGTTTCTTTGATTTTCTTCACTCTTCTTTGCTCCAGGTGAGCAGACACCAATAGTTGCACCTTAGATGACTGCTCACAACCTTTTAAGACTACATTTACTACTCACCAAAGTAGGATGTAGAACACTGTCTTTGTGGGCTATGTAATGACAATTGACTTTAGTGAGCCCCAGAGCCAGTAACTCATTTCATTAAGGTGTTCAGTTATAGCTAAAATGTTTTCATACCTTTAGGCAATAATTTCTTAATCTATAAAGTTTTTAACAGATGCCCCAGCTTCCTACTTTCATAGGGGTATTGTGAACATCAAATGAAAACATATGAAATGTTTTGCAATATGTAAGTAGTTCTTGTGCAGCTTGCTTTTTAGATCAAGGAGGGATTTTATACTATTGGAATATACATCTATTAGAATTTTCATGTACACAAACTTTGTCTTTCTCAACCTCATCTGATAGAATTATCTCTTACTCTCTTTCCTACTATTCCTACTAAATTCCCTCTCAGCTTCCAGTCATTGTAGTAGCTGTAAATTAGGGTCACTCCAAAGTGTAGATGCTGCAAGAACAGATCATGCACACCCACGTTCACCGCAGCACTATTCACAATAGCAAAGAGATGGAAACAACCTAAGTGCTCATAAACAGAAGAATGGATAACCAAACTATGGTACATACACATAATGGAATATTATGCAACACTGAAGAATAATGTAGAATCTGCAAAACACCACATAATGTGGATGAACTTGGATGACATTATGCTGAGTCAAATAACTCAATCACAGAAGGACAAATATTGTGTTAGTCCACTATTGTAAAAAGTCAAAGAAAAGTTTATATATATATATGTCTATGCTAAAACTGCATTCTGTAATACATCCGCTTCTCCCCCTCCCTCCCAAAAGCCCCCACAAAAACCCAAAGTGTAGATCCTGGAGTATTCACACCAATTTGCCTTTCTCTGAGGGAACACACTGAACGGAAGTTAGCTCTCATCTTAAGGCAATAAATAAAATATATTTAACAACATTTCAGACTTACAAAAGCAATTAATAATTCTTCTAAGAATTCATCTGTGTAACTGGTTTATTAAATACCATATATTTACAATGGAAGTAAAGCATAAGTGCTAAAAGTATATTATTAAGTATTCAATAATACTTTTATTTTTGGTGATAATTAGGTATTAGAGGACATATGATGCAGAGTTTAGTGAATCAATATGTAGATACTAGATCTCATCCAATGCACACAGGATAAAATTACTTTCACGGACTTTAAAGCTCTTTGTTCAAAATTTAAGTAATTAGAACATAATGATGGGGCTTAAATACTAATACTGCACTGAAAGTACCTGGTAGTAAGTGTCATCATGGTTATTTAAAAAAAACTCAACTGCAAGACTGAAATATCCCTTTGTGTCACTTCTAATCTCAGGCTTTTTAACACACAATACAGGAAACTGACATAAAAGAAAGAGATACAAATATGTAGCAATTGCTACACACCTTGGTTTCCCTAGCCAAATAACAAGGTATAGATCAAAAACAAACACACCCCCACCAGAAACAGAAAAAAAAGCCTTTAGCTGTCAGGTAGATGAATAGCAGCTTCTCAAAATAAAGACAGCTGTCTCCTTACTTGCCACGGCTCTTATTAGGAAAGCAGTGCTATGTCTAAAGGAGACTGACTAGCTAAAACAATGATCCTAATGTAGCAATATTTCATTGTTGTCAAAAGTTAATTCAATCAGTTTGGAGAGATTTTAATTCCTCCTAAATGTATTATTCTTCTTTATAAAATAAATAAATAAAAGTTTTAACTGTGATTTGGGTGTAAGTTTACAGAGCAAATTCATTTTCCATACCACAGTTAGTACATATTTTGCTTCATGACATTGATTGCAATCTCCATTATGTAACAGCCCTCCTTCCCACTTCCTTCCTGTGGTTACCTTTTCCCTGTGTCCTTCCTTCCTTTGCATTCCTGCCCTCTGAGCTTTCTCCCTGTACAAATACTTCCCTTCTGATCTCCCATGGTTCACTGTTCTAAGGAGTGTACTACCTGCTGTAAATAAATGTTCACCCTACATGCCTGTCTATAGTTTGGCTGGAAGCCACGGGAGAGAGTTCAGTTCTAGGCCTGAAGGGTGAGTAGGGGCCCTTGTCTTGAGGGTTTCACCAGTCTTTATCAGACCAGTTAGGCACGATCTTTTTTATTTCATAAGAATTTTAAAACCATATTTCAATAATTCTTAAAATGGCTCAACATCTAAAAGAAAGAAATTGGCAAACAGTTCACACAGACAAACAAAAATATCTCTGGTTTCATTTTATATTCTTACTCTATCTCCTGCATATGCAAGTATGATTGAGAATTAGTAAAACAGTCAGGATCATTTTAATTTTTAAAAGCACTTATTAAATGTATTCCCTAAGCTGGAGACTCCGGAAGTTAAGAATTTAAAGAGAAAACCAATGTCCCTCCCAAAGGTACAGGGTCAGAACTCTACTCAAGATATACTTTCTATTTCTCTCCATTCATAAAACAGACAAAGGCATCACTGTTCTCTAGTTTTATTATTTTTCAGTTTTCCAACACATGAACTATGTATGACTCATTTAGAGATTTTTCTTCAGTGCATTTCACAGCAAAAACGAACAAGGGAATCATTAAAATGGTTGTGCATAAACCAATTCTTTTTCTTACAGTTTACATTTTGTTGAAAAAATTGTTTTGCTGTTTTCATTCTATTAAATCCTTTAATAAAACACAATTTATCAGAGCACAAAGCTTAAACTTATAATGATGCAACAGACACAGCCACCTACAATGGCTGGTGAACAACATGTGTATATTACACACACTGATTGGAAGACCATATTAGAAGAAACAGTAAGGCACCACTCTTGGAAAATTAAGGTAACTTGAAGTAACAAATGTTGAGCACTCTAAGTAGGTGCTCAATAAATACTTGAATGAATGATGAAAGCCATAATTAACACTATTCTTCCAACTGCCAGCAATTCTTCAGCCTCAGTAAAATATTACTGGAAAAAAAAAAAGATTTGTACCTGAGTACAATTTCCTGATAGCTTTTTATTTCATTTCTTCCTTTAGCTTTTATGTTTTTTGAAAAGAAAATAAAACCATACCTTACATGCTCTCAGTCGCATATATCATTTCTGAATTACTGACAAATATGAATAGTTGTTTTAAATTTTGAGTGAACAGAGGTAAGATAAAGCATACTTATCCAGGAGAATAACACATAATACTGGGTATTAACCTACAAGTAGAAAAAAAAAAAGGTAAAGAGAAAAAGTAAAAGTTTCATTTTTTTAATGTTTACTATTTGCTTTTAATGCCTTAGTTCTTGAGAAAGGCTGAAATCTCATCATATTGACATGAACACATTTTTAAAAATTGTCTCTCAAGTGTAACATTTAATAAAACTAGATATTGAAAATGTTCTGAAAATTTTCAAGTCAATGTTGTTTTCAAGTATATTAAAATGTTCAGAAGAAAAAATTCTCTGTGGTTATAACTCTAATCAATTTATAAATATACTTTTTAAAAGAGTTCCAACAGAGATGGATACCAGATAAGTTCCTCAGACACACGCACAGTCTTTACGAACGAACAGAATGCCTTGTTACTACAGTCTGGTCGATTTTTAACACTGATCTCAGGCACAATGGCTGAATCCACTTCTGGGGCATCTTCCTCCTCCTCTTGGTCTGTTTGTAAGAGTAGTGAATACTTCAGTTACTGACAGAAAGCAAAGCACACACTCTGAAAGACTCCATTTCACTTTACTTTAAAGAAAGAATTAAAAATCACCAAGTTCTCACTGTTGTGTGTATCTGCTGCCCTGTGCAAAAACAGGGGGTTCAAACTTAGCTTTAGGAGCAGGAACTGGATAAAAGATTAATCACCTAGTAATTCAGGTAAAAAACTTTTAAGATGATATTGCTCACATCACTTGAAACAAGTTGGTGAGAGGTCCATTGTGTTTTGTCCACACTTTGGTCTTACTGCAGTCCTGCAGTGCCCTAGTAGGTACCTTCGTTTTTAGCTAGTTTCAGTCTGTGCAGTCAGTAAGCAGGTTTTGCAGTGCAGTGACTCCATTCTGAGAGGGTAAAGGGTAAACGAGAAGAACCTCGTTCGGGTGAGTCTTACACAGAGCGTGTCACTCTGCTGGTTGTGTTGCTGAAATTGTTTTCCAAAGGGGTTTGTAATAAATCCAGCCATCTCCCTGAAACAAGCAGAAAAAAATTAAAGAATGATTCCTCTAATATTTTCCAAATTAATAAGCAAAACTAGAATACCACCTCCTCTGAAACAGAAGTTTACTTTCCTTAACCTCCATGTCTCCTCCAAATCACTTATATCTTTATTTTCTGTTTTTATATATAATTTACATTACCTTGTTCCAAAAATGCTTTAAGGCCAGTAATTATAAAACCACCAGTTGCTATCGTTTAGACTCTGACTCATGGTGACCCCATGTGCTCCACAGGGTTTTGAATGACTGATTTTTTGGAAGCAGACTGCCAGCTCTTCCTTCCAAAGTGCCTCTGGGTAGACAGACTTGAACCTCTAAACTTTTGGTTGCAGCTGGGTACTTTAGCACAACCCAGGGACACAGCTACCAACTATAAGAATGTTTATTAAATCACCTTGTTGGTAGTTCTCTACATCTATACTACCTTTTGAAAAAGATGGTCACATTACAGAATGCCGCATTAAAAAGTTAAGACATGATACCTGACCATCTCATTTTATAGATGAAGACCCCGAGACTCCAAATAGTGAACTGAGTTGCCCAACATCCCCCAGGAAGGGGCAGAGCTCTTTTAATGCACCGTTCTCCATACTTTCTCTTCAACCTTTACAATGTGTATTATTTACCCACATTTTACAGATGAGGAAACTGAGGTTAGCAGTAAATAAACTATCCAAAGTGAGAGTTGGAACTCAACTTAGAACACTGGACTCCAACTGGTCCATTATATCATAGAGCCTTCCTGATAGTATTTAAATACAACTTAAGAAATTTTACATGGTCACTTAGGCTATAACTAACAGGTCCTAGTGGACATGCACAATAACGAAAGGCAGGACAAGGAGAATCTAATAAAATAAATGTCAGCAAACAATGGTCAGGGAAGGAGGTGGGTGTGCGTAAATGATACTATAAACATTTTTAGTTCATCCATGCTTTCTCAGGTTACTGTCCCTCCTCTTTTTATAATGAAAGTCAATCTATTCTTTATCCTTCCATCTAGCTAACCCCAACACCCAACTGGTGTGTAGTCTGTCTGAGAATGATAATGAAAGTACTGAATGAGTAGCAAAGCCCTTGTTACTCATATTCATGAAACACCTACTATGTGTTCGGGAGCTCTGGTGGCGTAGTGCCTAAGGCATTTGACTGCTACCAGAAGGCTGGTGGTTCAAACCAACCAGCCACTCCTTGGAAGGAAGATTGGGCAATCTACTTCTGTAGAGATACCACCTCAGAAACCCAAAGGGGGTCACTATGAGTCAAAATCAACTTGACGGCAGTGAGCTTGGTGGTTTTTTGTTTTTATGATGTGCCCAGCACTCTGTTGGACCACATAGGACAAAATCTACTTTTCATTAGTAATGTATGATTCTTTTTAGCAAAGAGTCATACATGATGTCCACAGTTCCAAATTTGTTATAAACTTTATGGTCCCAAACAAGCTGGGCTGGCTGCCATCCTCCTCAGCCTCACACATACTCCACAGTGTTCCATATCACGGTCCAGCTAGACACAGGATGCAACCTGAATGATCCAAAAGTTTAAGGAATTAATATGCTGACACAGCTCTAATCCATCTTTATCCCACTGTGCCATGGCACACCATCTATGCAGCCCGACTTAGGACTTACCACCCAAAGGACTTCAAATCTGATTCTGCATCTCCAATCTACTATTCCATCAATTTAAGATTATCTGGGTTATAAAAATTTACTATTTTATTGGATAATCATATTTTCCCACTACATTCTGCATCTGTCTGTCCAACATCACAATGTGATAAAAAGAGAGATTAAAACTAGTGATCAGCAGACCAAGGCTCCTGTCCGTGTCTCCTATCAGTCCTGTAACTGATCCTGAGCAGGTAAAAGATCCAGATACAAGTCAGACCATTGTTCAAGACATATATGTATAATGTTACCTTGGTCTTATGCTGCCTTTTCTCTAAAAAGCTCAGTAACAAGTCTATATGGACTATTTTATCTTCCTAGTTCCTGCCATACATAGTTCACTGCCACCGAGTTGATTCCAACTCATAACAACCCCTCTATGGTTTCCAAGGCTGTAAATCTTTATAGAAGTAGACTGCCTCATCTTCCTCCTATAGAGTGGCTGGTGGGTTTGAACAACCAACCTTCCAGTTAGCAGTCAAATGCCTTACCCGTTGCACCACCGGAGCTCCTCATTGCCATAGTTTAGGGGAAATAAAATTGTACCCATTTTAGAGAAATAAGTACAGGGATTCACAATAAACTTTTAAGTCTGAGACAGAGTATTTTGCCTGTCCTAATTGGTAGGCTACATTAAACTGAAAAGGCTCATTATAACAGCTCCCCAGAGAATGCTAACATGCAGCCAAGTCTGGTTTGAGAATCATCATTCTATGTTGTTGTTGTTGTTATGCACCGTCAAGTCAGACCTGACTCAGTGACCCCTCCTTGGGTTTCCGAGGCAGTACCACTATGGAAGTAGATTGCCCCATCTTCCTTCCGAGGAGTGGCTGGTGGGTTTGAACCGCCAGCCTTCTGGTTAGCAGTCACATGCCTTAGGCACTATGCTACCAGAGCTCCCTCATGGTTCTATAGGGTTATACAAACACAAATACAGACTCTGGATGATGGGTAAATGGAGTTATAAATAAACTGAAATTCTGTGTACAAAGAATGGTGCAAATTTTCCTCTGCTCTGTGGACATTCTTCCTCAGCAAGTTCATCTACTTCCATAACTGTAAATATCATCTACATGTAATATCTGAATTTATATCTCTGGTCCACACCTAACTTCTGAATAACGTATTTTTATATGCAACTGCTAACTGACATCACCATTTGGTGTCTCATAGAAGTTGCAAACTTTAAATGCCCAACACTGGCTTGTGAATTTTCCTTTTCAAAACTGTTCCCCTTCCAAGTAAGTGACACTACCATCTACCAGGTGTAATTCTGATTACACCTTGTGGGGTTTACATTAACTTTATCCAAAGATAAAGAATTTGATCTTTGTCCTCAGTTCCTTAGAGAAAATCTCTTAAAAACAAAACAAAACCCACCTTAGAATTTAAGTGTTTTTGATAAGGACTCCAGACCACACCTAACAGGTTATGCTGGTGAGGTGATGAGGTAACTCAGGTGGGGGCTGGCCAGGCCAGAAGGACTTATCTTGAGATCATCCTCTCATGATGACATGGTCAGATAATCCCACCTTGTGATCACTTCATGATATTGACCGATCTCAAGTGAGAGGGACTGGAGTTTGCATTACGTAATGAGACCCCCTTCCCCCCCAAAAAAAGTGCTGGACACTGAATCTCCATGAGCTTCCTCATTGGCTAAAGACATGTGCTCTCAGTAGGGTGACATGCCATCTTTAAGACACAGAAACTCTGTGTTGGGAATCTTCCCAGACCTCACCCTATGTGTCACTTCTTTATGTTGTACCTAATTTGTATCCATTATAACAAAGCTATAATTTTAAATACAGTACTTTCTGTGGGTTTTATGAATTATTCTAGCAAACTAGAACCCATGAGAATACCAGGGTCAGAAGTGAGGGGCCTGGGGACTCTTAAGCCTACAGCTGGTATCCTGAGGGGGTAAAGGTAACCCCCAAATCTGCAGCCAGCAGGTCAGTGTAAGGGGAGCCCTGGGGACTCCCAAGCTGGCAGATAGCATCTAAAGTCTTGAACCTCCTTGGCAGCCCAGAGGACTGTGTTCTTTAACATGTGAGGTCTGACTAGCTCTGGGTGGTTAGGGTCAGAGGAAGAACTGTTGCAGATGCAGCTGGTGTCAGGACACAAAAGTGAAAAGTGATATTCTATTTTAGGTTGATTATTATTCTCATAGCTGGTGTCGGAAAAAGTTTATTTGATCTATTTCTTCCACACACCTGCACATTTATGTATTTTTATTTCTACTACCATCCTATACATAAGCCACTATCACCTCTTTTCTAAACTACTGCAATAGCCTATTTTGTCCCTGTGACTTTCATTCTTGCTGTCTTCCAATTCATTCTTATCACAAGCAGCCATAGGATCATATCATTTCCTTGCTTAAAACTCTTTAATGACTACTCACTGCAATTTTAATAAAATCTGAACTTCTAGGGAAGTATTTAGGACCCTGGATAATTTGGTTCCCGTCAACAACTCCAAGCCCATCTGTGCCATTCTTACCTCACCTATCTGTTCAGTATGCTCCTATCATCCTTCCTTTCGTTCGTTCCTGAAATGTGCCCAGGCCTTTTCCCCCGGGCCTTTACCAGGCTGTTTCCCTCTGTCCAGAATGCTTTATATAGCTCTGTTTCTGTCATTCTATCAGATGGCAGCCTAAAAATTCCTCTCAACTTAATTTTAAAAAAGTCTCCCATTATTCTCGCTGGTATATTAGTCATTTGCTTTCATAACATTTACTCTGTAACTACACATCTCTTTGTTTATTTACTTATTTAATGTCTCTACCCCAACAAGAATGTAAACTCAGTGAGAACAAAAGGGCCATATTCATTTCTACATTCCCAATACCCAAAGCAGAGGCTCCTATAAATCAGTGAGTGAATAAATGAACAGACACCAACCACTGAACCCACTTGTTCAACATCCCCTTCTCCTCATCTAAAAATTTTCACTATATTATTAGCACAAAATGCAAGCAATTTTGGGTGTTTATAATACATATAAGAACCAAGGAGAAATCTAAGGGGGTGGGCTAGTATATTTGAGGAGCTAAATTATTTCTGGAATGAATGAACTAACACCAGAATAAACTGAGTGGTTAGAAAATAGGAAACATGTGACTAATTCTAAGGCCAGATTTTGGAAAGCAAGGGCAACCTCCACATTACGATATAAACATAATCCCCACAATATTATACAGCCCATATACTTTTTAGGAGGATGACATGCATAGGAAAACACAATATCCCTTCTATAATTTGTAAAACTGTGGCAAAAGAACCTCCAAGTGTG